TTCACCAGTGAATAAATATTACTGCTCGTACTCTACCGATGGTAAAACTGATAAAAATGAAAAATTTCTTAAAAAAATAAAACGATAAATTCTCAGATTTTATAAAATCAACGTTAACAAATAATAATAATCGATTAAAATTATGTCTAAGTAAGCGAATCTTTTTTTTTTTTAGTTTTAATTACTGCAATAGATTATACTTGGAGAAAATAAACTTTTAACGTTTTGTTATTTTTTTTCGAATACCTAATATAAATGGCGAGAAAACAAACTTTTTCGTATAGCAACACGACTAGCATTAAAAGTCAAGAAACTTTTTTTCCTGTTCAAAAAAAATATAAYTTGTCACTTTATATAATCGWCGGGWTTTATTTTTTTGTCGAGCTTAAAATTAATCATTGAGACTCCTGAAGCAGTATCGATATAATATATAATATATGCGGTGGTATAAAATCTCTCTTTTGTATAATATAATTAATACATATTCTGTATGTATTATTAAGTACCCTCTCGTAAAGACGAGACACGTTTTATTTTTTACGCTTAAATACTTTCTCGCCCTAAAAAATACTTAAGAGAAACTTTTAATGTCGTATTGATTTTTTTCTCGGAGCTCGACAGAAACTTACGAAGTCAGTAAATTTATCGTTAATCAAAACGATGACTTTTTATTTAGTGTTATATATATTTATATCATTATATTATTATGTATTATTATAAGTGTGGTGTCAGTACATCAATGCTAAATCCATTTTTAKGTTTGTAGTCTCGTAATGTCTTTCCGAGTTCAAAATTCAACTCGTGTGAGGTGTGACAGATAATTTTTTCTACTGCATATTTTTACATTATACAGAAAWGTATAAGTTAATACGTTTTAGTTTCAAAATATTGTCTAGACAAACTCTATTCTACTTTACACTGTCYTCAAAAATTATCAGTATTCGTTCTATTTATTAAATTTATTAAAAAATAATTTGGTCAGAGCGTGATACATCGCATTTATTTCGATTAGACGTTTTTCACGTGTGCTTTGATAGGTGTCAATTATTTCTGAAATACGAGAAAAATCGATGATTTTTGGCGGACATCACATTAACTGTTAAGTTAGATTTATCTATATATTTTAATTGAAAAAAAAGATACTATGTGTAGTTTATTAAAAAATTACTTTCTCGTGATTTTTTAAAAACATTTGAGAAGTTATAGCATTGGTTGGTTCATCTATAGGTTTTAGCTTCAACAATTTTTCGGAACGACTTTTAGTGAGTTTACAAGGTTAARTTTAGATTGTTTATCGCAAGATCGCCTTCGGTTAAAAAAAAAAAATGTTTTCTCAACCATTTTAGTTGGGTTTGGAATTAATRGATAAGGCAACAGGGGTGGAAATAAAAACACTAAACGATCTGTTTGAGTTTATTCTGCAGGGACACACAGACATAAAAAATAAAATAAAAAACCGTACACCAACGTATATAACAATATTGTAAATCTATCTTAAACATAAATAATTTAAAATTATTCATGTTCTATTCGTGTGTTTTCGACTGCCACATGCTCTCCCGGCATCACGGTTTCCATCGAGTCCATCTGAAACAAAATCGTCGTAAATATTTGTCATCAATTACCTGAGACCACCTGCATGGTCACTCCGTCTTCCAAACGTACAACGCTGAAAATTTGCGTCTCGCGCTACCGATTTCGTGCTGTGAGCTTTAACATTGGTGTAAAATATTATCTATATGTTGTTTTTTTACAATGTTTTAAACATTTTTTTTTTTTAATATGTTTGTAAATGTTTAAATTTGCCTCTTTATATTATAATAATATCTCAATAATGCACACTTTCATAGCTAAACTCCGAAATCGAAATATATATCGTCAAAAATCTACGTAAAAACACAGATTAACTTTTTTTCTAATAATTTTAACAATTTGTTAGTCTGATAATATTGGTCACTCGTACAATATCAAATATATAGCGACGCCGATCGAATTTTATTCTTTTGGTGGTTGATCACAAAATTTGAAACTTGCAATGTTGTACGTTTGCAAGACGGAGACGACGTGCTGGGYGTGGGGTCCTCTTGATGACCAGCAAAACATTTTGTCAGTCACTTATCTCTCGTTGTTTTTGATCACAGCAGGACACAACAACCCAATCAAAGCGGACCGACGACGAGGACGTCTGCTGACCCGAATTGCAGGGCCACGTGTTCCGCGCTGTACGCCAACCCGTCGACGTTGCATGTGGGCTCGGCGAACAGCTACCATCATACTAGTCACGACCAACGGAACCCCATGAACCATTCCCGGTGGTGAGCAAAAAAAAAAAATAATAATAATAATAATAATTAAAACAATTTTATCGTACTTTGAATATAATTAAGTCAGGATTATGAGGAGTCGTGTTATGAAACACGTTTATATACAATAACAGTCACATAATTTTATGCGGAGAACTTTTCAAATAAGCTGTATTCGAGTACWATATTGTGTTATTCATAAATTTGATTATTATTTACTAGTTATAATTTATAGGTTATACAGTTAGCATAGTCGATAGTGTGATTAATTAAAAAAAGTTTAATTTTTTAATCGAGGTCATCGCTATTATTGCAGTACTTAAATGTAGTTATTAACTATAAATTATTGCAATTTAACTTTAATTCCATTTAAGTAATATTCCACGTTTTTTTTTCCGATCACATATTCACATATTTGACGATGTTTTCAAAATCGTTCGATTGTTGCACTATATTTATACCTATTTGAATTATCTACAATAAACTATTAAAAACACTATTCTTTCAAAATTCATTAGTTTTAGATGATTATTTTACGACAAATAAAACTTTTATTGCTCAAAAACAATAATAAAAAGATAATTGAATAAAGTAACTATTTCAAAAAAAGTATAATACCTAACCTGAAAAATTAGTAAGATTTGAAAGTGGTAGATTGGTATTAGCTTGCTTGATAAATACGCCCTAACAATGAGTAATGGTTATTCTATTTTAGAGAACGAAGTGGTCTTTATTTTTCATATTTACGAAATAAAAAGTTTTTTTTTTWAAATTATATATTTTTTGAGACACCGTTTAATAATGTCTCGTTGTAGGTTACACGATCTCGAGCAGAAAGACAATGCGCACAACAGGAGGACTGAAAACCTGATGCGAGACTTCCCCTATAGTTCAGCAAGGTCGTCTGCAAACGGGTGAGCTAGTATTTTTTTTTTATCTGCGTGCTTAGATTTTGAATTTTTTGATTTAACAATGACTACAATATTGCGGATAATACACAATATTGAATTAATCCGTAACCGGAAAATTCTAATAAACCGATTGAAGGATATCCATGTTAAGTCTTTAAGTGTTCACGATTTTTTATAATAATMGGATTTTTTTTTTAAATAATTCCAACGATCGAGCATTAGGTACCCTCTCACTCAGATAGATTACCAAACGATACAAAATGAACAAAACATTAAGTTATTTCGATGTTTGCATACTTTCCAAACTCTGTTTAACCATTTTTTTCCATTTTCCATAGGATCAGTGCCGATCGGCCCTCCATGAATGCAGCCAAATCGACGCCGCCACCGTGGTCTAGTCAAGAAATTCGTGGCACATTGGGTGGTGGTGGCGTTCCTTGGCAGTGCGTCCCGGATCGCGTATACCCGGTTAGTGGTTACGGCCTTCCCAAAAATATCAACCAGGCGGCGTACCAGAACCGTAGCAACAACAATCCGGAAACTTGCGTGTCGTCGGCTGCGGTCGACACGAACCGGAACAGCGCAATGATCGCGATGACGACGACGACGACCGACGACGCCAAGTCCACAGCCTCCACTACCTCCACCGCAGTAGGGCAGTCGATCAAGTCCAGCAAGTCTTTCGAGAGCGGTGTGTTAGGGCAGCACGCCAACACGCCCAACGGTGTCATACCATGGCCGGGYGACAGAGGAAAACCCAGACCGTCACACCAGTGGGACAATCATAACGGTACGTCATCGCCACATCACCACCTCCACCATCAGCAGCAACAGCAGCAGCACCACCAGCAACAACAACAACAACAACAGCAGCACAACGGGTCGTCCCCGTACGGCGGTGGTGGTGGTGGTGGTGAAATCTTTTACTTGGGCAACAGGTCCTCGGGGGTGCGGACTTCTTCCAGGGGTGGTCCGACGTACTTTTCGCCACAACACAACCACGTAAGTGTTAACTGCAATCGATTCTCGATCAATCAGATTCAATTTTTTATTTAGACTTAACTTCATTCGACTTTTAACACTCGTCTAGACATTGAGGTTTTAAGCGCCTTCGTTAAGTTTTTATGACAAAATCGTCGATTTGTTCGAATTCTGATTTTCAATTATGTATTATTGTACGCATTGTAACAGGCGTTTCAATAAACGATATCGGAATAACTGTACTGAAATCGAATATCATATAATCATCATAMATTTTTTTTCACAAGAAAAATTGGAATAATCAGATAGTATTATTGTTATATAATATTTTCATAAATAATGAAATCATAATATGATTTTAGGTGGACAGATTGTCAAACACCGAGCTGAGGTCGTCGGCCAGCCTCGAGGAGATTCTTTCGCCGATCCTGCAAAGCAAACTGACCACTTGTGAGTAATATAATCACTACTGTTATAATGTTATAATAATAATGTTATAATGTTATAATAATAATAATATAATGTCCTGTGAAACGTGAAAACGAAAAACGTGCTACCGAGACACAAATAATAATAATAAAAATAATATGTAAAGCAATAACGAATTTTTTTTTTATGTTTCCGGACAGAATCTCGAGGTCACACAAACCATTGTGATATATCGTACGATTTATATTATTATCATCGTGATAATATGAATAATTATTGCGATCGATAGACGAGAGGAAATCGAATACGGCGGCCGAAACTTGGACGACGACTATCGAAACAAACCACACTATATAGCTGCTATTTAGTATTTAYGTGTAATGTGTATATTATATTTTATCGTTTATCATAATTTTTTCATTTAGATGACGCGTGCGCGTACGCACGCACGCATAAGCCATATTATATTACATTTATATTATACGAACTATGTGTACAGTGTAAAAAGAAAACGATTTATCTCATCACTACGTGTATATACCTATCGTTCGCATATATATATATATATATATATAATCTACACATATTATAGGGAAACCTTTTCGAGAATATAACACGAGTGCGAGTTTTCTTCTTCGTCGTTTTTATTATTATTATTATTATTATTTATTCTTTTCACTTTTGAGARAAACCGTCAAAGGGCGTCGATAAGTCTGAGTTTTTATTAAATATTTTTTATTTTTATGATCCCTATTTTCTTATCCTTCTTTTTTCTTTTCTTGATGCTCTGGTCGCTTTCTCTCGTTTCCCACTCGTATCATATAATATATTATTATTATTATTATTATTATTATTGTAATCATTTATCGTGTCTCCGTCGCGCTCGTCGGGTTTGTAAAATAATATCATACCAAAGCTCAATATTATGATCAACACATGTGTTCCGCGCATATTATTATGTATACATTAAATTAGTA